CACACACACACACACACACACACACATAAATAAATAAAATAAATAAATTAAAAAAAATATATTAGTCTAGGGGGCTGGGGAGTTGTCTCAGTGGAATAAGCACTTCCCTGGCAAAAACAAGGGCCTGAGTTCAATCCCTGATTCCATAAATATATATACTTATGTATGTATGTTGTTAAAATTATGTAGGCTTACAAGTTTAGAAAATGCTTAAGGACATTAGAAGTGTCTTTAAAAGTGTGGGAAAGGTTTATAAGAGTGTAGGAAGGGTTTCTAAAGCCTTAAATGTATGTAAGTACTTAGCAAAGCAGACCTTGGTGTAAATGCTAGAACCTGAATCTTCACTGTCTTCAATTCCACCCTCACTCACCAGATCAGAAAGCCTCTACAGTCTTCCTTTGTATCTTTTAGAATCCTTAGCTATAGGGATGGTAGCTCCCTGAGATTTGCACAGGGGAAGCCCTTAGGGGTGAGTTGCCTGGGCTCCCTCTGTCTGGAAGGGCTGGGAAAAGAGCGCATTCACAAATCCTCCTCCCCTCCCCTGCCCCTGCCCCTGCCTTGGAGAGGAGGTAGTGGACCTGCTTGGCCAGACCTCAGCCTGGCTGCTTGTCCGTCTTCCCAGCAGTTTCCGCCTCACCGCTGCCGCTCCAGTGCCAGGGGTGCCAGCACAGGACCAGGGGATGGGAAGCTTAGTGAAAGGCATCACGGGGGACAGTTTTCTCAGTCTCCTGAACCCACCCTGGGTCTTGCACACATCCAAGCAGTGGAAGGAGACAGCTGCGGACATATGCAAGAAGGACACTTTAAAGAACTATTACAGGGAACCACAATTTTAATGGTTTTAAAAAAACCTAAATAAAACTTATTTTAATGTCAACTTTAGTTTCATGAGCTGCTTTTTAATGGACAGCACTCATGTTAAGCCACGCAGCTCCCTACTTTGTAAATGTACTCATAGTTACAGCTTCACCACCTCTGCCCTTACCCCTGGCTCCCGGAACGTGTGCACGGGCCACGGGAGAAAGGGGCCCGAAATAGGCCGAGGCTTAACAATACAGGAGGAAAAAGCCGTGGCTGTTAGAGATTCTGTATGATGAGATATTAAGTGTCCTGAGTTGTAGGATATGCCATCTTTTTCCTTGCACTTGTCTGCACTTTTCAAGTTGTGTGTCTGCAATGTGTGTCTATTAAGTAACCCACTAATGAAACTACCCCAGTGCTAGGGTCATGCCTGAGAGCCACTCACAGCGGGTCCTGGGGACCACGGACCCAGAGAACAGCGTGTCTCTGCTCAGAGCTCTTGACGTAATGCAGGCTTGTGGGCAAGCCCCAGCCTGTACGAGCTGGTCCCAAGACTGTTCAGCACATGCACCCCAGTTTCCGCATCTGCTGCACCTCTGCACTTGGGACAGCTTCCTGTGAGAGCAAGGAGCCAGGAACGGGGTACAAACACCACTGTGCAAGGAGGCTACATGGGGTTGAGTCCTTCTGGTGACTGAAGAGGTCAGTAAATCCTTTCGGCTTAGGTGTAGTGACGGCGAACCTTTTAGAGACCAAAGGCCCTTTGCATCACCAAGTGTCAGTACAGTAACTTAAATACTGAGGTTCTAGTCTAGAAAGAACAAGTCTCTATTAACATTTGTCTTATACGAAAGCCCAAGAAGGCATGTGGGCCATAGGTTCCGTACCACTGGATTAGGGGAACTAGGAATATTTACTGAGGAAGCTTGAGAAACAGCAACCCCTTCTTGCAAAGCTGGTAGCGATTCTCTCCAGGTGAGAGGCTAAAGGGCACCGTGATGGGAAGTTCAGTGAGGCCAGAACCGGGGATTGAACTAGGCCCTTGTGCTTGCCAGGGAAGCGCTTATTCCATTGAACCATCTCCACCTTGATTTCCAAGGGATGTTCCCCATCAGACATCACCCCATGTGGACTGCCTCCGGAGACAGCGCCGCCTTCGCTGAACCTGGAGCGCCTCTCAGGTGCGCAGAAGGTCCGCAAGTTCCTGGAGGAATTCCAGAACTCAGCTCGCCCCCACTCCAACCAAATCCCCGGGTCCGCAGTCAAGGGTTCTCTGTGCCTGTTTTGGTTTATTCTCATTAGCAGATGTCGCTTGGCCCCAGGCTTACATATGGCTCCACAACATGTATCATTTGACTCCGTGAACCACTGATGTCCCAGTTGCAGCTCAGAACTGCTCCTCTGCCCGTCTGGGGCTTTTCCGTCAAAGCGTGGCTACGGCGCCACTGCTGCCCTCTGGTGGAAATGCAGAGTACAGCTGAGGAAACGCAGTTTGAGGTTATCTGAAGGCCTTTTTTCCTCTTAACCTCCTCTCACAAGCTTCACCTTTTGGTGAGCCGGAGAAAGTTCGAACTCCAGGCCATTAGGCATCTTGTCTACATTCGTACCACCATCAGCCTCCTGAGACCCTGGAACTTTAGTCCCCATAAACCCCAGGTCCCTAGAATGTGGTGGCCAGGTGTGACCCCGATTCCCTGCTTGGGGTAAACTTTGGAAGTTAACATGCTGTTACAGAAAGGCCATGGATGAGGTCTAATGGGCCAGCCTCTGCCCTTTCCTGTGGGATCTTGGACATCATTTTATATCCCCTCATTAAAAAGGAAAAAATCTGTTGCCAAAGAGTCGTACGGTAGTTGTTACCTGAAATGCTACAGTCCTTACACTTGTAACTTCTCCAATGTTTGGAGTGGGAATCCTCTAGGGCCAAAAGAGCTGTGCGAAGGTAAAGCAGCGCAGAGCTGTGTCTTCCTGCAGGCCAGGTCGGCTCAGGCTCCCGCAGGGGCTGACCTGGTCCTGCTCACCCAGGCTCAGCCTCAGGGGCAGCCTCAGCCCACGCTCAGCAGATGGTCAGGGAGCGGTCAGTAACACCTGCATTGCCCATGCCTATACGCATCTAGCGAGGCTCTGGACAGCGTCTGCCCCACCAGTGAGAAGCAGGATTTCTCCCTGTTCCTAAACATGGTCACCTGTGCTTGCTGGCACAGTGGATGGCTTTCAACCCCAAGATGGAAAAGTGCTTAGGAAGAAACCTGGTCATAGCCAAGTAAGCAATGTGCCTGTTTCATTTTTAAAAGGCCCTTTCTTTGTACCTAGGTTTCTTCACAAAAGCAATTTTTCCTTTTGAGACTGCCTTAGGTTCTTGCAGCCTCTAAACGATGCTTTCAAGTTAGCCTAGGCTCACTTTACTAGGGTCAGTTTAGACAGCTTCAAAGGCATGGGATGCTTTACTGGCCCAGGCCCTGCCCACACCCTCTTGTGGAAAAGCAGCACCGTGCTGAGGTATTTAGCACAGGGGTCTGCATCTCTGCTTACTGCTATGAGACCTCACACTCTCAAGTAACAGTCAACTGGGAGCAGTAAATGCTTAGTGGCTCTCTTAATTGCCTTGACCTTTGAAGATCCTTGTCTTTTCAATGGTTTTTCCATGAGGTGTCATGACTGGTATGAAAAGGCTCTCTAAAAACGTTTCGCTAGCAAGTGTGACTTTCTGTCCTAATCCCAAGTATTAGGTAAGAGTAGTAAAGGCACAGGTTTACACATAAAGGTAGTGAATTGAAAGTGCTGGCAGGCCGGGCTGCACCTGGGGCGTTGCACACACAATGTGAGTCTTACACTAACCCACAAAGGCTGGGTCCTGTGTCACACAGCTGCAGCTGCGAAGGGATGCCCTCCATCCTCATCACTCTCCTGCATTCGGGCTCTAGACGTCCTGAACGTAACGCTAGAAACCACCGTGGGAAACCACTGCTTGCTGTGAAGAGCTAGCCCCGAACATTTGGGAAGGGCAGCCGCCAAGACACAAGGCTGTCACACACTGGCACAGTGCCTAACACACAGGGCCTGGTCCAGAAACCAGCTGCTTCAGTCAAAACCGGGTTGAAGAGGCCCATTATCCACTTGCTTGTTGCTGTTGCTTTTCTGATTATAAGATACAGAGACACTTTAGGTAGCTTACATTTAACTTAACATTTATTTTCATTTTATATCCAGAAGTCACAATTTCTACATTAAAATATAATCATGCTGATGCCCCCCACCCCCGGCCCCTCAGAGAAAAAGTGAAGAACTTTACACAACTGGGAAGGTGGAATGCATGGAGTAGGGACACTGCCGCTGCACCTGAGTAACAGAGAACACGAGGAGGCTGAACACTAGACTCGGTAGAACTGCGCAGAAGATGGCTGGGCTCACCCCAGGGAGGAACGAGACACTAGCACTTGTGCCACAAGATCACCTGGCAAGGGCAGAGCGGGGTCAGCAGCAGGACTGCCCAGGGACAGCTCTCCCACAGACCTGAAAATATCCGCACACCTAAGAGCACCTTCCTCCTCACTGTCCTGAGGGTCTGCTCACACTTGGGAAACTGCAAGCCCTGTCAGCGTGTCAGCACGTGGGGTGGATGCAGGCTCGCTCTTATTAGACTCCAGCGCTTTCCGAGCCACAATTCTGTCCGACTCCAGGGCTCCCCTGCACGGAAGCCGAGGGGGGAACGGCAGCCGTGCAGAGCTGCACGGTCCGCGTGTCTCCTGGGGAGAGCAGTTCCACACAGGAACCCCAGCAACCAGGTAGGAGGAAGAAAGGCCACTCCTGCTGGTGTCACACCGGGAAGAGCGGTGGACAGTAAAGCCACCTGCTCGGAGCAGAGCAGACCCACAGGCACACCACAGCCGGAAGCGGCTCAAGGGCGAGCCTCCCGGCTCCTGTGAAAGGAGGCTCCTTCCGGAACTGCCCTTGATTTCCTAAAGTGTGTTAGCTTCGGAGCGGTACTCCTGGGGGGCTGAGAGGTAAGGGCTGGGAGACCCAAACAATGAAGACATTATTAGGCAATCGACCACACCATTATGTACAATACATACAACTGTAAGAAAACTTTTCCTCCATCCCTGCAGCTACTTTAAACAAAGCACTGAAGATCAGGTGCTCAGAGTGAGGATATTCTACAGTCTGTTAGCAGTTTAGACATTGCAACACTGGCACAATAAGTTACCTACTCTTCGCTTTTAATTACAGGGTGACACGGTAAACTCCCACTCAGAGGTGGGGATGGAGGAGTGCAAAAGGAATCAGGAAAACAACCAATGCTTCACGAGAGCGTCCCACCACAGGAGCAGCAGCAACTAATGCTTTGCAGAGTCTCGAGGGTAAAATTCACTCAGGGTGCTCTGAGGGATTCTCTTCAGCATTTCTTTGGGGAAGATTCGGAGCAGCTGCCAGCCAATGTCCAAAGTCTCATAGACACTGCGATTTTCGTAAGGACCTGAAAAAAAAAAAAAGGCATTGAATTAATGGCAAAGTACTCCGGCTCCTCAGTGTTAAGCAAGTTATTATCCTGTTAGGTCAGAAAGCACTGAGGGCAGTGGTGGCCTGAGACAGTGGGTGGCCGTGTGTATGTGCGTGCGTATGCATGCATGAGGGGGCGGGGGCTGTCTGAGCCACTGTTCTTCATCACCAAGGGGATCTGCAGACAGTGGAAATGAGATTTTGTGCAACCCAGAACACAGGCCCGGATCTGAGGGACACTTGTAGAGATGCTCAGAAAGCCCTGGGTGCTAAGTCGGCGGTGCCTAAGGCTGTCATTTTCAACAGCATACCTGTAGCACTCACATTTTATTTACTCATTCATCAAGCAGGGAATCAAGAGCAGCTGGAATCCTGGGTTCCTCTCCCTGGAGAACTTCATATGGACTAAGTGTTTAACATACCGAGGTTAAAGAATCCCAGTAATCACTCAGATTTTGGAGATTTTTTGTATGAATAAGGTATCAGAAAAGTGCGTGAATCCCAAGGGTGCTGCTGGTGCATAACCTCAAAGTCACACAGTTGCTGCAGCTGTCACTGGGTCAGGAACTGGCAAGCCAAACAGCCCGAACACCCACGTGCTATGTATAGAGGCCCACTGCAGACGTTTTAGTAGAGGGACCATGGATAAAATGAGCAAGGTGACCGAGTCCAGAAGACGGTAAGGAAGCTGGCGGGCCTTGAGACTCTGGTCCGCGGGCAGCCCTGTCTCCCAGGCGCTCCTTTCACCTGCCTCTCTGGCAACGGCTCTGCAGAATCAGAACCTGCACTGCAGCTCACCTCCCAGCTGACCTCAGAGCTGGTCAAAGTCTGAGAAACTGGCTAAGACTTGCGAGTAGGCGTGAAAACAAAGGCGGGCAGGCATTTCAGAGGACAGCCAAGTTAGCACAGAGCTCATCACTGGAGCGTAACTGATATGGTTAAGAACGATGCCCAGATACTGAACAGGGTTCACCAGGGCAGTGATCCTGCCAAGTGTAGACAGAGCCCACTGCGAAGGTGACAGGCGCACGCAGCTGGAACAAACACTGGTTCTGGTCCTCCAGGCCTGAAGGGTTGGCAGTAGAGTAACAACAGCATCCCTGATGCTGGTGGACATGAGGGAACTCAGAAAGCGGTAAGGGCAATGCGTGGCCACGCAGTGCACACAGCACAATCAAGTTCACGGTAAAGGGGAGAAATGGAAGTGAAAGGCGGGGGATCTTCTTGGAATGTTAGCAACTGAGCAGGAAAGCAAAAAACTAAGAACACGAGATGAAAGCTGAGGAAATCAAAGCCTCAGACACCAAATGACTCTGTTCTCAGGAGAGCTGGTGATAGAGGCTGAGAGAAGTAGGACAGTGGCTCAAGTTGGGCACTGCCGCACGTGCTCACAGTCCTAGCACTCCGGGAAGCTGAGGCAGGAGGACTGCAAGTGCCACCCAGCCCAGGCAACTCAGTGAGACTCTGTCTTACACGAAGGTCTGGAAATGTAGTAAGATCCTCTCAAGATATTCAGAAGACGGAGCAGAAAAGGCTCAGGTTCAGGCAAAGGCATGGCAAGTGCCTAGAGCTTCTCTAATCAGAGAGAAGACCGGAGCGGGAACAGTGTAAGTTCTGTCAGGTGGGAGGGGTCTTACACGGCATGAAGCTTCCTGCTCAAGGAGACAGTCAGCTTACCCTGACTGATGAAGTTCCTCTCGAACTTCTGTAGGAACTCCAAGTAAAGAAGATCGTCCGAGGTGAGCGCCTCTTCTCCCACCACAGCTTTCATGGCCTGCACGTCCTTGCCGATCGCATAGCATGCGTACTGAGGAGAAGAGGGCAGTGAGAACACACCTGCGTGGCTGCGGCTCTGGGCGGAGAAGCCACAGCAGTGCGCGCACGCCAGGCCCACGCGGAGGCCCCGCAGCACTTCACTACGAAGCACTCCCTCAGTAAGAAGACTGCCGGCAACGTGATGCAGGCAGCAGGGACACTACAAACATTCTTTGATATGTTAATGGCTTATGTTTATAGCATCTGAAAAACAACTCATAAATCATGGAGAAAGCCACCTCGAACCTCCATATAAAAACATTTGTGTAGCACAGGTTTACTGTTTCTACTTTATGGACAAGAGCATTTTTGTGTTTAGTGTACAACCTCACATGAGTACAGAAATCAGACTTCACAGAATATATAAAACTATATCCTTCAGTGTTCTGGTGGCTGCCCAATGTATTAAACAAGAAGTATGTTAAGAGTATCCTTTCACGAATATAATTACTACTAAAAATTAAAACAGCCTTTTTTTAAAATTAAAAGCTACTTTTATAGAATTGGTTGTGATTTTCAAGCTTTAAAATCTTGATTATAAGCATAAATCCTTATTAGAAAAAGTCTGCTTTGACTTAAACAAAGTCTAGTTTCAATTCTACTTGGAAGGGAGAAAGCAAGCGCAAACACAAGACAATGGACAAGGCGGCACCAAGTCCAGGAGGGCGCTCTGTGGTTTCCAACACCAACCTCAGAAGAGCACACGTACCAGCTGGTTGGATACGTCAGCATGGTCCTTCCGTGTCATGCCTTCTCCAATGGCAGACTTCATCAACCGTGACAGTGAGGGCAGTACATTAATAGGCGGGTAAATCTTGGGTGGAATAGGAGGGAAAAAAATGGCTGTAAGTACAGAATGCAAGCTCTGCTGGACAAGAAGGATTTACAATTATTATCCTCACAATTATATAGATCTACTGCATTTGTTTCCTGGATGGTTCTAGTATCTTCTTGGTACTACGCTGTGCTAAGAAACACTTTACTATGTAAAATTTCTGTTGAGCTTCTCAAGTGCCGGGCTTACAGGTGTGCACCATCACACCCAGCAGTGTTTCTTGAAAATCAAACCCAAAGAAGAGAATCTTCCCTTCGGATAGTACAAGACTACCTGGAAGAATTATGCATTTTCACCATCTGCCTGATATCAAGTCTATCAAGTCTTTTAAACTCTGACTCAAAAAATCATACACAAATGAAAAGAGTAACAATCGTTCCACCTCAACGTTGATTTCTGATTCCAGTTCTTGCTACAGAATCACCAAAAATATTTTTCTATTAATGATAAGAATGGGGCATTCCATTCATTATGGAATAGAATACCCCAAAATGTTCTTTCAGGGATGCTGACTGCCTTGTAAGGTACAATACAGTCATGAGCCCCCGGTGCTGTCCTACTGTCAGGTACCTGTCTGTTGTGCAGCTGTCTGTCCACGTAGATCTGGCCCTCGGTGATGTATCCCGTCAGGTCAGGGATGGGGTGAGTGATGTCTGCCGGTGGAGGACACAGGGTTAAGTGCGCAGCCTCCTCATAACCAAGCCCAGCTACTTTATCCAGAAAGTGCCCCTCACAGGACCCTTTCATGGTTATAGGAATGCTCTGTGTCTGGGCTGTGCAACTGGAAGCACTTAATTTCAAACCTTGTTTAATTGTAATTAGCCTGAACTGATGCAGCCAAACGCACCTAGGAGCCACTGCATTAACCCATTTACTCTGGTCACAGCAGCTCAGCCAGGTTACAGCCACAAAGTTATCAGGCCACTTTCACAAAAGGCACTCTCCCAGTTAGGTGCTTTCTCGTAAACTATTAAACAAAACTGTGTTTTAAACACAAAGTTCCCTTATAGAAATGAGCCAGCTTTGCATACACTGCCAGAACACTTGCAGTCCACGTACCATCTGAGACGGACATGCACCACTTCACTGTGCAAAAGACAGGAATGCCAGATCAGGAAGATGACAGTACTGGGGCACCCATTAAAAAGGTCACACAACACAACATGCTTCCACGGCTGTTAAAATTACATACAGCAACCCTTCAGCTCCTTTCTCACACAGCGCTTCCACATCAGAGGTGCAGCAGCACGCCAGTTAGTGCAAATTACAAGTTCAAGCTGCACAGGCTGTGGCTCTGTCACCCTTGACCCTGACAGACTGCTGCTGGGAGGACCAAGCGAGTGAACGTTGCACTGACATGGCACTAAGAGCGACACCACACCACTCATTATGAGAATACACTGGGTGTGAAGGTGTCTCATAGGACTGTTTCAAGCACAGACAGCAAGGAGATACCCTGAACTGAGACCCAGCAGAGGGATGCTAGCAGCCGTGCTCCAGGGGCACGCTGGGCATGCCGAGCACGCTTTCAGACAGACCCGATGGAACCCGTAATGAAAGAGGCTTCTCCCCAGCCCCCAGCTGAAGGTTTGTCTCTGGAGCGCCGCGGAGCTTGCTGCCAGTGCTGTGCACCTGGCACTGACCGCAGGCTGTCTTACACTACTGGTGTAGGGCCATACACGATACCCCAACTAGACTAACTTCACTAAACAGAGACAATAAGTTCTTACAATCCTTACATCTAAAACAATGCCCTGCAAAATGTTGCGACTCAATAATACCCAGTAAGTAAAAATTTAAAATACAAGGAATATTGTTTTGTGTCCACAAAAGGAGCAATTTTCAAATGAAAAAATTTATCTGTACATAATTAACTAGTTGAAGCAAACTCATAGATAAGCTTTTTTTTTTTTTTTTTGTGGAACTGGGGATTGAACTCAGTCCCTTGCACTTGCTAGGCAAGTGCTTAGTCTACTGAGCTATCTCCCCGGCCCGAGGATAAGCTTTCAAAAGAATTTAAATTAAAAAACATAGATGCGGGTAGTCCTATTGTATCATCGAAGCTCTTACAATACGTAGCTCTGTTACAAGGTAAAGACCAAAACCTTACCATCATTGGGCATGGTGAGAATGGGGATTTGAGTAATAGAGCCATTGCGACCCTCCACTCGGCCTGCGCGCTCGTATATCGTGGACAAGTCCGTGTACATGTACCCTGGGAAACCTCGCCGACCGGGGACCTCCTCTCTGGCTGCTGAAACCTACAGTGGAGCCAAGAAGAAGCCCATGTACCAGAAGGCATCATGTAAGGCTTAGTTTTTCTGAACATACCAACTACCAAGTCGAAAATCCCATCCTCCCATTTGAAATACGATCTTAAAGTGATGATTTAGAAAAATCCCAAGAAATATACACTCTAATTTATTCTGTGGCAAAAAATTGATCATTGAAAACCAACATCTTTTTTCTGCCATAACATTTATCTTCAAATGGCCTATTATAAAAAATCCACTTGTAATTTTACAAACAAAGGAAATGAAATGTGTACCAGGAATCACTTGTTCCCTTTTATCTCATGCTCGGGTCGTTATCCCCAGTTTACAGTTGGAATCAAGCTCACATATTCATGAGCTTCCCAAATCAGAACACCAGGAGTCTACACAATAGCACAAAATGAGAGTAGAAATAAATGGCTGTCTTCAGAGACACTCGCCAAGTGTCCGAGAGTACAGGCCCAAATGCCCACCTACATCCATCAGGAGCCCCAAGCAGGGAGGCAAACTTGTGGCATGCACGGTTTTCTTTTAAGATAAAAGATGTTACTGTGTGAAATTTTTTTAAACTAAATCCTCAGCACTCAGGATTAGCTGAGTGCTGGAACTTTGCTGCGATGAACAAGTGGGTTTTGGGGTGTGGTTTGGGCCCCCCTCTCTACAAGGATCGCCATCTCTGAACTAGAGCACCCCCTCAGCGTACACCTGCTCCAGCTGTACTACCAAGGTGTGTTCTACAGACCACTAATTACAAACACGCAAGGAGACAGCAGAGAAAGCGGGGTAAGCAGAAACACTCTTGTGACAACTGAGCACAACACATCTGTCTGCTGTCTAGTAAAAAAATCTGGGCCTGAAAGTGGCATATCTTTTAAAAAATTTTCACTTTTTTAGTAGCTCATTTTTGCTGCTTTTGCACAAGTGCTGGTCCACTACTGCTCAGAGAATAAGTAGGCATCACCAGTTAGTGTGAAACACAGAAACAGGGCTGGGGAGATGGTTCGGTAGAATAAGCGCTTGCCTGGCAAGTGCAAAAGCCTGAGTTCAATCCCTAGTTCCAAAAACAAAAAACAAAAAAACCACACAGTAACAGAATGAGGTAAGTTTATGTATGCTTTTAGGATTTGAAACAGCTAGGTGTTTATACATTAATGTGCTTTTTTAGAAGTCTTTCTCCTTTTACATGTTTACAAGTTACTACAAATATTCGATAACTTGATTAGAACAAACATCCCAAAACTTCTAAGGGTGGTAAGAATCATCAATGTTCTGCAATAAGCATTTGTCTTATGAAGGAAGATGTTCTCAAGGGAACGTTGGCTATTTATTTAAATAATGTATCACTAAAAACAGAACTCTAAAAAGGGTTAAAAATTAATAGAGCAGACAAAACAGAACCTCCCAGGAGAGCCAGACATGGTGGCACACGCCTACAATGCCAGCACTCGGGATGCTGAGGCAAGAAGACCACTGGGACTCCGAGGCCAGCCCGGGGTACACAGTGAGTTCCAGCCAGGCTGAACTGCATGGTGAGACCTTGTCTAAAACAAAACAAAACAAAACAAAACAAAACAAAACAAAACAAAACAAAACACAACACAACAAAAGAAAGAGCAGACATCCCAGGAGAGTAACTGAGTGAAGAGCTTGCAACTTATTCCCTGTTACAGTCTCTTTTTAATCTATGGAGACAGTGTTTTTTTGTTTTTTTGTTTTTTTTGTATTTTAGGGAACGGTCTACAGGGTATTCAGGGTCTCACTACTAGACTGGACTTGTAGTGATCCGCCTGTTTACAGCCTCCCAAGAGCTGGTATTACAGGTGTGCGCCACCATGCCCAGTCTCAATTGCCATCTCAGTGCACCCCAGGGGAGGGGCTGGCACAGCAGGCCTGGGGATTGAACCCACCGCCCCTGCACCTGCTTGCAGGTGCTTTAATCTGCTGAGCTATCTGGCTGGCCCGATTATGCAGACAGTGTTAATAAGCAGTCCAATAGCTTTAATCTCATCATGTGACATTTTACATTGATGGAAAAAAAGGTGCATTTTCTTTTTGATTAATTAAGGCATCTTACTAATAAGTGAACAATAAACTTAAAAACATGACGAAAGAAAAATGAAAACTCACAAAAGGTCTGTCTAGATAACCCTGAAAATTAGTCCATTTGTTTAATTCAGAAAAAAATCCCCAGAAAGCTGAAGTTACCTCTCGAAGTGCTTCAGCGTAAGAACTCATGTCTGTCAGGATCACTAGTACGTGCTTCTCACACTGGTACGCCAGGAACTCAGCTGTGGTCAGAGCCAGGCGAGGGGTGATAATCCGCTCAATACTGAAAGGAAAGGAAGTGCCAGGTCATGCAACTCAAAAGCAAAAATAAATTCTGGAATAGTAGTTTCCCTTTTAATAAATTGAGAGGTTAGCAACTGTTAATCCCCCAAATTCTCAAGTAAGGCAGTTGTTCTGTTTATTTACATAGTAAGAATTACTTTTTGCTATAAATTACTTAATAAATGCCCTATGACTTCTCAGAAGTAGTTTTTCAAAACTGAGAGGTGGTGGTGAGGAAAGAAAGGAGTGAAGACATGAAAACAAGACCTTTCAGATAAAGAGAAAGTAATTTACTGAAAATCAGTTTGATGAAAATAGATATATTTATACATAGATGTGTACGTAACAATCCATTTATCTTCAAAATAATCCTGTAAGACAAGTATTATGTGCCACATTTTCTGAGCTTCAATGTCTAATTTGCCCAAGGCCAAAAGAAACGGCTGAAATTTAAACACAGGCTGAGATCGTGCCCAAGTCCACAGGCTTTCATTATAACATAACACGGCGGTACCTCCCTAGTCTTAGGTGATGCTTCTGCCCCTCAGTCTGCAAACTGAAAGAAACAGGTCTCTTTACTTACGTTGGGTCATTAGCCAAGTTCAAAAAGAGGCAGACGTTGTCCATAGAGCCATTTTCTTCAAAGTCAGATTTGAAGAACCGGGCGGTTTCCATGTTTACCTAAACAGCAAGGACCTCATCAGAGCTCGGGGAGGAAGGCTGACCTGAGGTCTACACTGTTCCTTCTTCTTCTTTTTTTTTTTGTGGTACCGGGCACTGTTCATTCTTTTAAAATTTCAAGAATCCCCAGATTTTTCACAAAAGCCAGGCTCAGAGTAAAGAGTCTGCTTTGGCACAATGAATATTATCAAGTTTGAAGAAAATGTTTTATTTACTTATTTTTAAGAGCAGAATACTTATTGGGGGGAAAGAAGCTTCTGTCCGAGAGAAGGACAGAAAGGGTTGAAGAAAATGTTTTAAATGTTAATTCTTAGTTTGGTCAAAACGTAAAGCTGCAAATTCTCTTAGAGATTAAGCCAACTGTAATGTATGTATGTGTAACTTACTGTGCTACAGTGATAAACTAAGCTATTAACTTTATTTGTTATACTAACACAGAAGGACGTTATACTTACACCCATAGCAGCAAACACAATTGCAAAATTCTCCTCACTGTAATCTACTACATCTTTGGATTTCTTTACCAGACCAGCCTGGCGACAGATT